CGCCCGCCCAGCCTGGCCTCACCTCCACCACCTCTCCCGGGGCCACTGTCAGCTCCTTTGGGTTCCTAGCTTCAAACTCGAATAAGACTTGCATTCTCAGGGCTGGCTGCACTGGCCTTGGGGTGAAGGGCACAAGGTTAGGGGGCCCCGCACGGAGGGCCATGGTGTGTGTCTCCACTTGAGCCAAGTAGGAAGTGCTCCCTGACCTGATAACCCCTCCCCCCGCCCCCTCCCCACCGAGGGTGCTGGAGCCAGGACCGGGGAAATGGAGCCCCTGGCCCAGCCCCGGAGCCCAGCTGTCTCCCACCCGAGCTGGGAGGCCACTGTTGGGTTTCCACAGGGTTGAATGACAGGGCAGTGTTAGTGGGGCTGGGGGGGCGTTGTCTGCAGGCAGCAGGGTCTGGGATGTGGCTGATCTCTGAGGACTCAGTTGGGGACTTCTCTCCCATAGGTCACAGGGTCAGCCCCTTCTCACCCTCCCCTTAACCGTATGGCCTGGCTAAGCCCCGGGCTCACCGGAGGGAAGCGGAGTCCTGGTATCCTGAGGGTGCCTGTGGGGGCAGGACAGAGTGGGCGAGGGCAGAGTGAGGGAGGGCAGCATGGAGGCAGGGAGCTGGCCACAGAGCCACTCCCACACAGCTGCCTCACGGCCCCTCCCCTGCCTGCCTGCCTGGCACCTACATGTGGGTTCTTGGTTGCCATGTGACCATGGCGTGGTCTGAGAAGGCAGAAACTAGCCAGAGGCAGGGCTTTGAGTAGGGCTCCGTGCTAAGCTCCCCTTACCTGGTTGGAAGGTTCTGGAGGCTGCCAGCCATCATAGAATGTAGGTTGGTAGGGTGGGACCTCATGGCCTGTCCAGTTGTCCCTGGGGAGAGAACCAAGCTGAGTCCACTCCGCTCCAGGCCGTGGGACGGAGGAGGGGACGGAACCAAGCCTCGGGGCCTTCTAGGGCAGGGGTGGGGAACCTTCTTGCTGCCCAGGGCCATTTGGGCATTTACAACATCATTCGAGAGCCACACACAATTATCAACTTAAAAACTAGCCTGCGGTATTCGGCCCAACATTTCATTAACTCGCCCCTCATGCCTCAGCAGGGCCAGAGGAAACGATTTCATGCGCCTTAGATGGCCCGAGGGCCGGACGTTCCC